CAGCGCCCCCACAGGCGAGCGGGGGAACAGGTTGCTTCAACAGGTTGGTTCAACAGGTTGCTTCAACAGGTTGGTTCAACAGGTTGCTTCAACAGGTTGCTTCAACAGGTTGGTTCAACAGGTTGTTTCAACAGGTTGCTTCAACAGGTTGCTTCAACAGGTTGGTTCAACTGGTTGCTTCAACAGTTGGTTCAACAGGTTGCTTCAACAGGTTGCTTCAACAGGTTGCTTCAACAGGTTGGTTCAACTGGTTGCTTCAACAGGTTGCTTCAACAGGTTGGTTCAACAGGTTGGTTCAACAGGTTGCTTCAACTGGTTGCTTCAACTGGTTGCTTCAACAGGTTGGTTCAACAGGTTGCTTCAACAGGTTGCTTCAACAGGTTGCTTCAACTGGTTGCTTCAACAGGTTGCTTCAACTGGTTGCTTCAACAGGTTGCTTCAACAGGTTGCTTCAACTGGTTGCTTCAACAGGTTGCTTCAACAGGTTGGCTCGACTGCACAGTGCAGTGTGAATGCAAACTCACCAGCTCAAATGTAACAAAAGCTCATGAATATTGGTCCCGAACCGAACCGAGTCTACCGGACTATCTGGTGTGAAAACGACCTAAAATGAAAATCGGTGTAACCAGCAGCAGCAGCTCGAGTAGTTCTGGTGGCGCACGGGCCTGTCCAGCTGGAACATCATCATCCTCTGCTGCAATAACCACGTGACTGCTGCTACACAACCTCATCTGCATAAATCACTTTTTATTGGTCTTAGCCCCACTCAGACTAGCCGTTAGCTCGTCAGTCCAGTCCGAAACAAACTCTTCAAACTATTGTTCAAACAGCACAACAGGTGACACATGACCGCTTCACGTCCCCACAGGACAAAACACCGAAGTGTCTCTTTAAACCTTTTCAACAAATGTAAAGATCAAAAATGGTGTGTAACATATTCAACAAGCAAACAAAGCTGTAATCACACACGCGTGTCACATGTAATCACACACAAGTCACATGTAATGACACGTGTGTCACATGTAATCACACGCGTGTCACATGTAATCACACGCGTGTCACATGTAATCACACATGCGTCACATGTAATCACACATGCGTGTCACATGTAATCACACACGCGTGTCACAAGTAATCACACACGCATGTCACATGTAATCACACACGCATGTCACATGTAATCACACATTGTCACATGTAATCACACATTGTCACATGTAATCACACATGCGTCGCATGTAATCACACATGCGTGTCATGTGATCACACGTCACACAAGAATCAAGACGATTTGCAGCTGACTTGGTGGTTTATGTCTGTTTGCTCTGTAGTTTATTTTAATTAAACTCTTCCAAGTCACAGAACGACTTGTGTGACTAAATATGAGCACGTGAGTGCACGACAGCACGAATGTGGCTCAAATGGTGCTACAGTGCACATGCAGTTAATGGGCGAGATGACAAAAAGAAAAAGCAACAAATACATTTTATAAAACATAATTTCATATCAATATATTAAAATACTATTAAAATAAGATCTTGGACAATATTGTAATATGAAATTGACCGATAAATAATTGGTTGGCCTACACACAGAAATATATTTATATTTAAGCATCTGTGTCATAGTTTAATATTTTTGAATTGAAAGTTTCCAGGTTTTCCCCAGTTGGTGGCAGTACAATCCAGACAGCTAATAATACTTTTTACTTTCGTCAGCCAGTACAACAATGAACATACAGTACACAGCCCCATAGTAAAGTTATACACACTGGATAGACTACAGTATAAATGTCAAGACAGAAAAATAGAAAAATATCAATAGAAATCAAAAGTCAAATACAGAGAAAGTAAATAGAGTAAGAAGTGTACTTATGAGTCTGTTCTTGTTGCAGGAGCTCCTCTCAGCTCACTGTTCGAGTAACTGAATGTTGCTTCTTGCTTTGCAGTCCTGACACCGTCGCACAAACACAGAGTTACGAACATTTGCAAATACACTCATGCAACAGGCACAGCGAACTGCACGAGTGCAGCACACACACACACGCACACACGCACACACACAGCTCACATGACCGTGCAGCACTTGCAGGTCTGTTTCTTCTCCTCTCCGCCCTCCTCTCCACTTGCGTTGGCCTTCTCTTTTTCTGCCATGCTGCCGTTGGGCGGGGCCTGCTCTCCTGTGGCTGCGTCACCTGCTTTCCCCTCACCGTCTTCAATCACAACAAACTCGGCCTTCACGTTGCCATCCACCCCTTCCATCCCCAGGGTCGTGTGGCTCTCCACTTCATCCTCGACGGTCTTGTAGCCCATGAACACCAGAGTGACGGGATTCTCTTCGCTGGCTTGGTCAGGACTGGGACCCAGCAGCTTGGCTTCAACCCCTGTAGCCTCTTTTTTAGGGTTCTGCATGACACCATTCTCACCTAAAGGCAGCACCATCATGGAAAGACCATGAGAGCCGGTCAGGGAAAGTCAGGAGAGACAAAGAAAGGGAGGAAATATAACTGTAATAACCTCTGGAGGAGACAAGTCATTTAATTTAACTTAGCCAGCTCTGCTCTTTAGCTGTGTTGCCAGGTGTTGCTATGGTAAGCACAGAACTCACCGTTTTCTCTGGCAACACCTTTCTTAGCTGGCATTCCTGTCTCCAGTTCTTCAATTTCTTGCTCCAGCCTAAAACACACAATCATAGATGCCATTAAATAATGATTACAATATTTTTAATTGAATTATTAAATTGGATCTAAGAAGTTTATGACCTCAAAGGCTACAAATGTAACTTGTTAAATTATTATCTCTAGCATTACTTGAAAGAATGCACTTTGTCCACCAGTTTTTTTGAAGATAAGATTGAATCCAGAGTTTGAAGCTATAAATTCCCTGATGATAAAAACTAAACAGAGTTGTAAGGTTCAAAAGATCACTTTGAGTGACGTCTTGAAATATTGTGAAGTCATGACAGATGAACTCAGAGCATGGGTTAAAGAGGAGTCTCAGCTACTACCACATCCATCTTTAGATCAATATCGAAATCTGAAAAAAACTTTAGCTGTTTTATGTGTTGACTAAAGTTGATAGGCTGTGGCGGCCATCTTGATATGGACAGCAATAGTTAATGAGTTGTACGTGCACATTTATTTTTTTATTAAAATTCATTTTATTAATCAATACATATTTTGCTAACAGACAGACTGACACCAATAGTCAATGCTAAACTTTAAAGTAAATTATTTAGTAATGTTTAGTGTTCAGAGCATGTGCTGGGCATGATATTTAGTTTATATCATCCATAAATTATCTTCTGGGGGCAGCATCTTCAGCAGGGAGGTCCATACATCTCTCTCCACAGCCTCTTCCAGCTCTTCTGGGAGGACTCCAAGATGTTCCCAGGACAACTGAGAGACTTAGTCTCTCCAGTGTGTCCTGGGTCTTCCCCGGGGTCTCCTCCCAGTTGGACATGACCGTAAAACCTCCCTAGGGAGGCGTCATAGGGACATCCTTAATAGGTGTCTGAACCACTTCAAATGGCTCCTCTGGATGTGGCGGAGCAGTGGTTCTACTCTGAGTCTCTCCTGATAACTGAACTTCCCCCTGTCTCAGAGTCTTTCCACATTTGTATTCTTTCAGTCTCTACCCAGAGCTCAAGGTCCAAAGTTCTTTATTGTGTCAAAAAGTTCAATCTGGTCCTCTGGACATTCAAATTGAATTGAATGTCCAGAGGACCAGATTGAACTTTTTTAGATTTTTCTACCTGGATTATTGAGCATGCATCAGGATATTCTTTATTGTGATTTACATCACATGTGGTACATGAACTGGAACAAAATTGTGTATTCAAGATCCCAGTCACACCCAAAAATAGCAAAAATAGGAAGTATTAAAAAGAAATGGTATATAAGGATGTAAGCTCATCAGAGACTACTTCCTCAGACGGCTGAGACGAGCTGGTCTGGAAGCTCAGTCCTCACCTCCTTCTACAGGTGTGCAGTGGAGAGCATCCTGTGCTCCAGCATCAACGTGTGGCATGGAGGCTGCACAGCTGCAGAAAGAAAAGCTTTGCAGAGAGTGGTGAAGGCTGCACAGAAGATGTTGGAGTCAGTCTCCCCACCATCACAGACATCTACACCTCCAGATGCAGGAAGAGGGCCACCTGCATCATGAAGGACCACACTCACCCAGCACACACACTTTTTGCCCCGCTCCCCTCAGGAAGGAGGTTGAGGAGCCTTAAGTGTAGAACCACTAGACTGAGGAACAGCTTCTACCCTGAGACTGTTAGACTCATGAATCTCTAACCAGTGAGCCATAGCTGCCCCTGTGTGAATGACAAAGATCCTTGAATCCTTGAAGATGTGAGCTCTGTGCTTATATGCTATACGAGTTCATGACCACTGGTGAAGGTAGGAACGTAGAGCGAGCGGCAACCAAAGAGCGGTGCCTTACAGCTCAGCTCTCTCTTCAGCAGAACGGACTGTGCTGGACTAGAATCATCCAGGTGCACAAACTCCTCTACAATAAGGTGATGATTCAAGGAGGAGCTATTCAAATCATGGAAAGCATCAAATAAGCACTTTTAAGACGACACAAATGGATTAGAGTTAAGTGAGCTCTAATTGTACCTATGGAAGTGGAAAAATGCAAACCGTAAGCAACTCATGTTTTAACTCGGGTTCAACGAGCGAGCGTATGACAGAACACACGCAGAACGTTTAGTGTAGGTGAGACCAAGTCGTAGCTGTGCCTGTAAAACTGGCCAAGCTATTGTCACTTTTTGTGTTGACTGTGGCAGACATTAGAAACTTGGGTGGCTGGCACAGCTGAAGAAACAAATGGCTATAATTTAAAATTTTGCATGAACTTGATTATTCCTTTTTTCAGTGACATACACATAGTGTGTGTGTATAAGAGATTTGTGGAGGTCTACCTGAGGATGACTTGCTCCAGAAGTTTGGTCTTCATCTCATCCTCCTGCAGGCGTCTCTGGGTGTCCTCCTCTGCTGGAGCTCCATCCAACAACCAGCGCTCTCTCAGGGCCTTCGACTGCACACAAACCACAGACACGAGTGCCGTCACATGACGAGGTGAGTCCCATTATCTATGACATTTATAGATTATGGGCAAAGATAAGAATGCATATTGCCCGCTGCCTTTCATGCTAATGTTTCAAACTGAGATCCTCGTGTGTTGAAAAGTGACGGTTAAAGCTGTTTATGTCAAATGTTAACGTAACGATATTTAAGATGGTACGATGGAGATGTGTGCATCTGTTAGCACTCGATGTGTCGGGGATGACGGTCAGCCTCGACACATCCTCACTATCAGTATCTGTAATGTTCACTGACGTGTGTTGGCTAAAGCTAACTAGCAGCGGTGGCCATCTTAAATTGGATTGGCTCCAGAAGTTATTCAGTTGGAGAGAAGTACTTCCATTGCTTACGTTGAGTTTCATGAAAATCCATCCCACAGTTTACGAGCTACTTGACTAATAAATGTACACACAGGCAAAACAAATATCAATGAGTTATGATGTTACTATTTCATCTCTAGATGGATCCATGTGTCTCTTTAGATTTCTCATATTGCACTGCTTATAGACCTCACACTTGTTTATCAAAAAACTGGTCAAAGCTCTAAATCACACAAAATGCTTTTTTATTACTCTAAAACACCCAATCCCTAACTGCTCCCTGGGTGCTTCCATATCTGCCCACTGCTCCACCTGTGTGTATCCCAGGTGCAACGAGCCAGTTTCCCCACTGTACGGGAACAGACGGTGATAACAACACATAGCACTTTAAAATGGAATGTTTTTACATTATTTGCACTTTCACCGAGACACAGTGACGGACGTTTGGATCAATGTAGGACCAGATTCCACCCACATACAGTGTGAGGCTGTGTCACTTCATCTCCTGCTAAAAGGGTCGTTCACCGAACAAACCTGGAACCTGGCAGGAGGATCGATACCGTCAGTGGCAAATATCCAAACCAACAAATAATCCTCCCATTACGTTCAGTTGAACGTGACAGTGGGAATGTGAGTAGGTCGCTAAAAGAAAAACCAGAAGCTTCATTCACTGCATCAGACACTTCCTCTAGTTTGACAGTCATTCAGTCATCCGTCCGTCATCTTTCCACGCTTCTTCCTTTCCAAGTCTCTGGTGTCCATGTCCAGCAGTCACTGTGAGAGGCAGGGGACACCCTGGACAGGTCTCCAGTCCATCACAGGGACACCTAGGGACAATTTAGAGTTACCAGTCAGTCTAACTTGCATGTTTTTGGTCTGTGGGAGGAAACTGGAGTACTTGGAGAAAACCCACACAGCATGGACAGAACATGCAAACTCAACCCAGAAAGGTCCCGGCTGGGATTTGAACTGGCGTGAGAGGCAACAGCTCTACCCACTGCGCCATCATGCCACCTGACAGCCAGTTTGACAAATGTAACATGGTGGTTCATGTGGGCCTTTAGTTTGAAACATGTAAACACAAAATATGCAAGTCAACGTGCACTGAAACAGGAGACGGAAGTTTCACTGTGCAGTCGTCCACATCGTCCCTGTGTCTCATGGACTTACCTGTTAAAAAAGGTCCATTGCTTATTTTGTTAAGATCAGATGTTGAGTAAAAGCAATGGCTCCTCCTCTGGACGGCTCGTCCTTACAGCCTCATGTGGAGAAGCATAAAGTTCTCTCGTATCTTATGTCTCAAATAGTTGTCATGCTCCGAGGTAAATAGCAGCGCTTTGCTCACAGCTTTAAGATCATAAAACAAAGAAACAAGTAAAAGTCCAACTGGTTTTATGGAAATGTGGCAGGAAAAGCTCATCTTCAGGGCTCACCATCTTGGCCTGTGCTAAAAGTGAATTCTTCTCCAGTGAATTTAAACCAAACAAAAAAAAAACTGCCGTCCTTCTTTCCTTCCCTCTCAGGCTTGACCCAAATGAGCTTATGATGCATCTTAAAGTGCAGAACCTGGAATGTAGCTTCATGTCCAAAGGTGGAACAAGAACGTTTTTGTTTGTTTGTTTGTTTGTTTGTTTGGGCTTTTATCAGAGTCAGAGATTCTTTATTGTCGTTCGCACCACATGCGGTACATGTGGTGTAATGGAATTATGTGCACAGGGTCCCAGTTACATCCAATAATAAAATGTAAAAGAAAAACAGTAGTAACATCTAAGATATGAACTAAGAAAAACATCAACTAAATCTCCTGATGCATGCTCAATAATCCAGGTAGAAAAATCTAAAAAAGTTAAATCTGGTCCTCTGGACATTCAAAAAAACAAAAAAAACAAAACAATAGAAACGTTTCGTCTCTCATCCGAGAGACTTCCTCAGTCTGAGGAGCTGTATTCAGCTCAGTCTCTTAAATAGCACCTTCTCAGAGTGCTATTAAAGAGACTGAGCTGAATACAGCTCCTCATTGTGAGCCTGCACAAAAACAGCAACACCTCAGAGTTGAGCTCAAGTTTGGGCTGACTGACAGACCAAGCGCTAACAGATCACATGACGTCATGCTGTGTTGCATGTGATTGTACAAATTTCAAGGTTTATTCAAAATGGCTACAACACCATCATTTCTCAATACGAGACGTATTCCCATTCTCCCTTAAAGAATCTGGTCCAGATGACATGACTGAACCTCCACCTGGATGATGACTCACTTTAAACCAGTTTGACTCTGAAACTGGCATGTAAGGCGGCGGGTAACTCTAGGCCATTAAAACGTTTTCCCTGCTGATTGTTCTGGTTCTACTCGGTCACTTTCTCCATGGAGTAATCGTCCTTTAGACATTCAGCCACCCAGAGCTTTATACACACACACACACACACACACACACACACACACACACACACAGAGTAAC